ACGTTCTGATCTATCGTACTCCTTCCTCTCCTGAATCCTGCTTGGTGGTCTTCTATTATGTTTTCATAATACGGATGTATTCGACTTAGCAGAATATTAGTCATTATCTTATAGGCACCCGGAAGAAGTGCTACGCCTCTGTAATTGCCAAATTCATACATGGAGCTCTTCTTATTAAGGATATGATCGATCAGCCCTATGTTCCAGGCTTCTGGTATCCGTTCCTCCTCCAATATTTGTTGGGTTAGTTTTAACAGCTTGGCTCTGAGTTCTTCTCTCCCATCCTTGAACAATTCTGATGGCAGGTTGTATGGACAGCAGGGATGGCCCTGGAGCCTTTCTTATTTTAAGCCTGCCGATTGCTTTCCAGAATATCTGATTTTTCAACCTCAAGTGGATCGATGACCTCAATGTGTTCCATGTCTTTTTCGCTTGTGGGGTGCCCTTGATTAAGGAGATGCTGCAAATGTTCCTTCCAGATGCTAAGGATCTTTACTTTTGATGCCGTTAATTTTCCATCTTTTCCCTGCATTTGCGTATTCCTGGCTTTATATCCTACCCTCTCTTTCCTGATATCTGCGGAGAATTTGCATATATTTCCAGCATGCCAGTTTTTCTCAATAGTTTGCCATCTTTCTTTGAGGAATTCTCTTTTTGATGTTCTTATTATTTTGTTTATATTTTTCCTAGTGTCTGTGTATTTGTCGAGCACAGTTCGATCAGTTTTTGCTAAGCAGAGGACTTTTCTTCTTTCCCCCACCGCTTTTCACATGCTTCTGTGAACCATTTCTTGGCTTTTCTTTTTTTCCTGAAACCCTATTACTTCCTTAGCTTATGGTTGTAGTCCTGGCTCTAGTGCCTCCCAATGTTGGTTAACCGTGAGACCTTCCGCGTTCTAGGGTTCGAATTTATTTTTCAGCTCAATTTGGAATTCAGCTAGTACTATTCGGTTTATCAAATTACGGATATCGTACCTCTTTCTTTCTACTTGGTCCCCAATTTGATGGATTCGCTTTAGCCTCTGACAGAATTTGATTGTAATCAGAGTATGGCCCGGATCAGTGTCTGCTCCACGATAACTCCTTATGTCCTGTAAAAAGCTTTGATGCCTCTTGTCTATCAGCACGTGGTCGATTTGGCTTTTTGCTCCTTTAGGACTTACCCAGATGTACTTATGTATATCCTTGTGCGGAAACATCGTACTGCTCACTACTAGACCTTTTGCTGCTGTCAGACTGATACATCTCACTCCATTATCACTGCTGGTTTCGTGAAAATTTGGGGTTTTCGACCGATCTTGGCATTGAAGTCTCCTATGGCTAATTTTATGTCATATTTTGGAGCCTGGTTCACAACTTTTTCTAACTGATCGTAGAAATCGTTCTTCACCTCATCCTCTTTTTCTTCGGTTGGTGCATATATGTTAATAATTGTGATATTAAACCAATGACCTCTTACGCGGAGCCCATCTATTCATTAACTGGAGTGAAGTTTATTACTGACTTCCTTGCGGCCGGACTAGCTACACTATAATAAATCCAGTACCAGCTATCCCATTTTTATTGTTTCGCCCGGTCTAGAACATTATGTGGCAGTCTATATGGTTTCACCATCATCAAGCTACGTTACTTCTTGGATGGCTGTTAATGGCATGGTGTACCATTTTACTTCATTTACTACCGATCGGGCGGCTACCGATTTACTACCGGTCATTACCGATTAATCATTTACTACCGATCCGAACATTCCATAGTCCGATATGGAGTTCGTGATTTTTTTTTTAATTTTGTCGGACATTTTTAAACCTTTCAAACTCTATAAACTATATAGCTCCATTACTTGCTTACTTTTTGAGTTATTAGCAAATTTTCTTTGCTTAGGCGGCCTTCCTTTGCATCCTTTCTCAAGTGCGGCCGCCAATGTAGGATCTTGAGATTCACTCAATAAATATACAACTATATTTTGATGATGTTAAGAGAATTTATTGTTATAATATTAATTGAATGAAATAGATTTATAGACAATTTTGTAAAAAGATAATGATAAACACTAATATCAATAACAATTCGAATACACTTTAATAAATTATTGAAATATTATATCCTAAAGTAAGTGCAAGTAACCTAAAGGTATAAACTACTTTTAATAATTAACTAGGATCCTAAACGGGCTTAAACTTCATGGCGTAAATAAATTTTCAAAATTGATCTCAAAGTTAATCTCTCCAATCTCTAACGCTCGTCATGAGTCTTATCAGTGACGATGCAAGTAAGCTGAGGATTGGCCAAAATATTGAAAAGTAAACATCACACCCATACCAATATTGGAACGAGTAAGGGAAAACTCGCGACGAAAAAGACATAATTCGATATTTTAATAACGACTTTAAAATGTGTAAACACTTTTTCTTCAGGCTTTGAAGTATATTAATTAGTTTTGAAACGATTTTAAAGGATTTCAAGGGTAAAATATTATAATGGATGTATTATGTTAGCATTACTATAATATCATGGTAGTAGTTTGTATTAGAGATGTGCAGGTGAATTGAGTACCGAATCAAAGAGACTCCTCCGAAATAACTATACTCTCAAGCAACTTACATAAAAGAATCGGGCTGTTCAATAGGTATTATTAAAAATAAAAGTACGAGGGAGAAAAAGCACCCTTTTTAGGCCTTGGCTCTAGGGCTAATAAGGTATTTTTTTTGCTGATACTGATGCTGAAAAAGCTTGCACTCTCTTACCAGTACAACGACTTTCTGTCCCTTTCCCAGATTTCAAGTCCTCCGTAAAGAAGAAAACAAAAAATATATGAAATGAAAATTGGCTCTACAAAGGTAACAAACTAAAAGCAGTTATAGAGAGGTCAAATCCTTGGAATATAGTATTCAGTAAAAAAAAAAAAGAAGAAATTACAATAACAAGGTTGAGGATAGGGTACACGAAGGTTACTGACAGCTACCTAATGGAAGGAAAACCCCTGCCAATGCGAACCATTAGCCGGCAACAGTTAACAATCAAACATATATTAATAGAATGTGAGCTGCACAAAGAAAAAAGAAGAACACTCAAGATCAATGTACAAATTCTAAGATGGCTACATGGGAAATTTTATATCGTTTAATAAAAGAAGTAGTTTTCAAGTTATATTTTTTAACTCACTAGGAAAGACTGAGTAGGAGTACAGGTACATAGAATTGGGCACATAGGAAACTCGAGATTAACCAGCAATATTCTTTTTTTTTTCTTTAAGTATTTTCTGGAGTTAAGAAAAACACTAGAAATAACAATGATTATAAAATGAGGAGAGGAAGAAACAAAATGTCATAATAGATACATTTCAAGGAAATTTCAGGAAAGTAAAATGACATAGTAGGTCATTCTGCTTCAGGTTTTTATTATGACGTGGTTCACTCGAGGTGGGAGGCTCCGTACGTGCGTCAGATTGTAACCATCCGCATGGCCAACTACAAATTATGAGACAGCAATTTTTTAAATATCCTTAAACAATGGAACCAGTTAATTCTCAGTTAGATTCAATCGAATTGGAAGATATAATCAAGAATGGTGTTCAATGGTGTTTGAGAAATGCTAAACATTTTTGTATTATCTTGCCGCCTGAATGAGATGAAGAGACTATTAGATTTTGTCCCGGGAATCAGTACTTCTTGCTACGCCTCTGTATGGAAGTACTTAACTTGACTAATCGGGAAACAAAACTAAAAATATTTTCTACAGTTTGGTGTGTTTACAGATCGAATTAAAATCGTTACTGAAAAGACAAACAATAATTTCATTGAGATTAAAATATTGCGTTAATGATAAAAATACTTATTGTATAATGGAGGAATTAGTGTAGTACATGTCAAAGTAAGTAAATTTCCAAATTGCATAAAAAAAATTTATAGCTTTCCTGTGATTCTTCATACCATGTCAATTTTTAATAAATGGCTTTTTAAAGATGAATGCTCCACATCTGTATAGGTAGAAAGGTTCTATTTTGTATAAAAATATTTATTTACTGATAAACGCTTCAGTTTCGAAGAAAGTTTTTTAACTGAATATGTTTATGTCAATTATATATATATATATATATATATATATATATATATATATATATATATATATATATATATATATATATATAATATATATATATATATATATATATATATATATATGCAAACCCATGATGAAAATATTTAGTTTATATAGCTATTAGAAGTTAAAATAATACGAAAATCGGTCAATTCTTCACTCATACAATGCCACACAATCGATATTTCAATATTAAACTAAAAAATAAATGACTATTCTCGAAAAGAAATAAACTAAATACTATTTTGATATATTGTAAATATCCAGTTTAGTCTTTACTATTGTTCTTTTTAATTTTTATTTAAAAATGTATATCATTTAACTATTAATACAATAAAACTTGTATTATTACTTGTGTCTTGGATGTCGAAGAACAGCATTCATAAGAGGGGTTACCCCCCGAGGATCGATGGCACATACCACCACTTAATTTTATTGCTTTTCTGTACTCAAAACAGTGGATACGAATGAAGAATGTGAAAAAAATGTAGATTTCACTCTCCATATTTTCCTATGGTTTGAAAATTTAAAAATGAAATCCCACACAAAAGTATGGTTTCTTCCGAAAATTCCAACCACGCTAGAATGTCCTTAAAATTTAAAACCCCGAAAAAATGTGCTCCCTCAAACATTTTGATGGGACAACATGCGTCATACAATCCAATTTTGGGTGTCCAGATTCATAAAGCTCTTTAGAAATAGTGCAGAAATAGGATTTGCCAAGTTTCTGAATATTTTAGCTAGTAGATGAGAAAGCAGTCGCTGAAGGAAGTGGACATGGACAGTCTCCCCTCTTCCTTCAATGGAGTAGGAAACAAGAGCAGTCTCTAAACGGCAGCCGGTATGTCCAGACCTCCTGCAGTCTTCTTCGTCATCTTCTTATCATCATGTTGCCTCATCTTCATGTTCGCTATCGTTGGGTATATTTGCCTGGGACACACCTACGTTAGGAAGTGCTGTCCTGAGGGCACGCTCATGAACAGCACTGATGAAGGCCTGGGTTGTGTTCCAGGTCTTCATCAGGATCCTCCAGGTATAACCTTGGAATTTCATAAAATCAATAGTTTAATGGTTCCTCTCGGTGCTGAAGATGACATATTTGTCGACTACAAGAGTGGAACGCTTCACTACAACAACCATAGTACCAAAGACTTCTGCGTCGATATGGAATTAAATGGAAATTACTCAGTATTCGTCTTAACTGAAATCCCAGCTGAAGTGTTTAGGTACTATTCTGCAGGAATGTTCATTTCGGTTCCGTTCCTCGTGGCGACTTTCGTTGCCACTTACTTTCTTGACGAACTGAAGACTTTTCACGGAGACTGTGTTAAGAGAAATGTAGTAACTCTTAGCTTCGCTTATTTCTGGCTGGCCTTGTTCCAAAACATCGAACCCGAAAATGGAGTACTGTGTCATACCGTTGGTAAGCTCATATTGCTTTTATTATTGATGTATGAAAATATGCCAAATAGTTTGATTGAAATATTATTTATATTATCCTATAAAAAATTCATTTACCAAATAAGTTTTCATATAAAAACAATAACTTTCTTGCCTTATTTCTAGAAAGATCATTTCTGACCTTGAGAGTCAGGATTCTGAAGTGAATCTAACTGTACATCAATACTGAGTGTTTGTATGTCTAATATGATTCTATTCATGTGATTATTCAGTAATTTAATTTTTTAAATAAAACTGACCTCATTTATCTAGTCCCAAATGTTATTAAATTTGTTATTAACGTGATTTCGTAGCATAGTGAAATGTATGAACTGTTTAGTAGATGATTCCTTGATTCCTTCCTCAGACTGAAAGACGTTTCTGAAGAAACTGCGATCAGGAAACGAATCGTCAGACATCAACATGAGGGAGGTTGCAAATTGACACTTAAGTAGATTGTGCTTTAATTTTGTTGGTTCACGAAAATATAGAACACAAATTGGATTAACCTCAAATTTAATAAACGATTTGTAGATTATATATCGAACTTCTTAGTATTTTGTACTGTTGATAGAACAAAATAAGAATAAAATCTACCAGGGAGCTTGAAAAGCCAAGTTTAGGAACTAGAATTTAGTCTAAGTTTAAATAAATCTTAACCTTATAATTGTTGATTTATTATTTTATAAATAGACGTCGGTTTATTGCAAAAATCTATTAAGCGACATTTCCTAACCTAAACCACTATGAAGTTTGATTAATTTATCCTGAAATCTAAAAAAATAGCGCCTCTTCTAACATTATTTGATAAATAAAAGGGTTTTGTAATTTTAATGCATTTACTGTAATTTTTTTCTCGATAAATAAGGTCGAAATTCACAAAAAAACATCTTTGAAATTTAACCTATATCAAAAATGTACTAATTGAATTTTTGCGATAAACTGTCGATATGTTACCAATAAATATTTCGAAGTATATAATTTTTCGGAGCGCGATGTTTTTCATCTTTGATATGGATTAATAAAGCTATGGAAGGAGAAATAGAACACCTGGAGATCCAAGCTCTACTCTCTCAACTGCATCAATAAAATGTTGCTAAAATCGATAAAAGAATAAAAATCCAGCGAGAATGCTATAGTCACTATATAATTAGATATAAATGACAATTATGGACATAATACATACATTTTCTTTTCTTTTTTATTTCTTAATGATATTTACAACTACATTAAAGAAATACATTTAGTGAATTGGAACATATGGATATACGTGAAAACAGTTGTTGAGAAACTACCCAATGGTAGCACTCTAATGATATGTTTACATTAGGAGATTACGGGGCCCTCTTCTTTTCAGACTCCTCGGAGGGTTATCAGGAATTGAAGAGGAAGCAAGGTTAGAAACGAGATGGTTGGGATGATTCTGAAGTTTATTATGAAAGGATAGGATTCTGGATTGGGCCAGATCTGAAACATAAGAAACATTAAGGTCATTATGGATGGTTTTATTTGGAACAAAATAGCGATATATATATATATATATCAATCATAATAGTGAAGTCTGTATATTGTAGTATGTCAATATTTTTCATTATCTACGAATTCTGGTAAACACTTTTTAGTTACACAATTACGTTCAATACTCAACAAGGAAAACTTTATTTAGTGAGAATAGATTGTCATCAAACCATGTCTTTTTCAGTGACTAAGGAAGGTAAATTTTCCCGGAGAGTGATTCATTCCGATCTGATCGCTCAAGAACGATTTTGATAAAACAATCGCCCTCTGGGGGCCGATTTAAAATACGTGAATTAACTGAATAATTAATAAAAACAGCTATTTAAAAAAAAAATCTGAATTCGAAATATACATGGTGAGCTGAGAAGAACGGGGAATACTGCAGGAGTGGGTTGTACTCAGGAAAATAATAAAAAAAACTCATATTCTCCTATCCGATTCATTTCTTTAAATTTGATTTACCCCACTCCCTACTAATTACTAATATGTATCACAAATTTCATTTTAGAAAAATGCATCACAGGAAACCACTACTTAATTTGTTTACATTTGAATTACAAGAACTATTAGAGAATGTTCCTCTAAACATCAGAATTTAAATCCACATTCAGCATGATGGAGCTTCCACTCATATCACTTGTCTGGTAAGGCAACATTTGAATGAATGGTTTATTATTTACTACAGTCAACCTTCAGTCCACTATTATGTTAATTTTTAATTGGCCATTGCAAAAGGTACATTTTTATATTGGTTAACCTTTTAATCAGTGCACATGGTCCGATAGAAGATAAAGATAAAGAAGAAAAATATGCTTCATGAAGCACTAAGCAAGAAGGAGCGTATGATGACCTATCCAAGTATGATGCAAAAATGATGCTGAGTGATTTCAATGCCAAAATTTGAAAGAAAAGTGCTTTTATTCCTACTATTCAAAAATATAGCAAGCGTGAAATAATAAGCGAATATGAAATCAGACTGATTTATTTTGCAACAGCTAAGGGACCTAAAAATGAAAAAAAAAATTAGTAGTACGTGTTTCTAACATAAAGAAATCCACAAAGAAACTTGGATGTTACCTGATGGGAACACTAGAAATCAAATCGAACACATATTAATAGATGAAAAGCAGAAATCATATATTATTAGACGCTCGTTGTTTTAGAGAGGCGGGCTATAGCAGTGACCATTTTCTGGTAGAAACTAAATATAACTAGTGCATATCTTAGGAGTGGAAAAGCAGAGGAGAAACCAGGAGAATGTTAAACGTGGACGGCCTGAAGATCGTGAAAATAAAAGAGGCTTTTAAAAGAAAGGTCATTCATAGATTAATTGAAAGCAATGAAGAACGGTACACAATTGAAGAGAGATGGCGGAAGATAAGGACCGTGTTGAATAAGGTTGCTGCGGAAGTGCTAGGATATAAACAGAGGAAACAAATATCCGAATGGTTTGATGAAGAATGTACTCAAGCAATTAGAGAGAGGAATGAGGCGAGAGCCAAATATTTGGAGACGGCAATAAGAGCGACAAAGGAAAACTATATAATACAAATGATTACAGTCAAAGAAATATGTAGAAAGAAAAAGAGAGGTTGGAAAAACGAAATCATAAAAGATATGCAAGAGCACTATGCAGCAAATGAAACTAAGAAATTTTACAAAGGAGTAAGGAATGCAAGGGCCGGTTTTAATTCGAACATCGACTACTGCAAAGATAAAAGAGGAAACTTACTGAGATCAAGGAAAGATATATTAAATAGATGGACCGAATACCTTTCCAAAGTATCAAACCAAGGAAACATAGAACTCAGTAATGATGAAGAAGAATCACATAGGAATAGAGCAAACATATGTGAGGATGAGGAAATACCGCCAGAAAAAAAAGTAGAAATAGAAAAAAAAATTATGTCTTTAAAGAACAACGAATCACCGGGTGTGGATCTTATACCAGCAGAGCTAATAATAAATGGAGGAGAAGAATTAACTAAACAGCTAAACGACCTCATATATATGATCTGGGTGCAGGTCCCAGAATGGAACCTGAAGAATGGAACTGGAACTATATATATATATATATATATATATATATATATATGAATATATATATATATATATATATATATATATATATATATATATATATAGAGAGAGAGAGAGAGAGAGAGAGAGAGCAGTACAATAATATCGAATGTTATAAAAATGATTTTTTTTTGCAAAGTCTCGGAATTGAGATATAAAGTTGTAATTGATTTAAGTTTTGAACTGTTATGGATAAACTAGTAAAATAATATATATATTCTTGAAGAAAATTAAATTATTAAAAGCTTTCTTCCCCAAGAATTAATCGAAGAAAGAAGCAATCAAGAGTTAGCAAGTCAAATGCAGTAGAAAACATGAGGTAAAAATTTGTTTTCCTCATTAGCGATAGCTGAGGACGGATATCTCAGAAACCTAGCGAGATATCGAAACAAAATATACAACTAATCATATTGCAGATTTTATCAACTATGTCATATAGGATACCTTTGTCGATGCGGTGGATAGATTTCCTGAAATAATTGGTAACTCTAAAAACATCAATAAACAACGACAAGTATTGCATAATTAATGTAGAAGTGTAAATATTAGTTATTTCCATTGAACAATTTTTTTAAATTATTTGAAAGTATTATTATTATTTTGTAATAATTTATTTACTTAATAAAAACTTACTGTAAATCCTATTACAATATAATCGTCCTCTAGAAAATTGATTTACTTAATAAAAACTTACTGTAAATCCTATTACAATATAATCGTCCTCTAGAAAATGCGATTTAATTTAAAAAATACTCTTTTTTGTGGGTTTCTTGTTATAAATTAATACTCTTCTTAAAACAGTGGAAGCGAAAGTAGAATAATGGCAGATTATCTACAATTACATTTGTGTGACCTGTTCGATGTTCTCCCTCTTGTTACTCATTGTTAGTTGAAAGCTCCTTACTTAAGTGGTTATCTCACAAAAATATGGTTCCCTCCGGAATTCACATATCATAAACACATCAATATATACCCCTCCCAAAAATTTTGATGGTGCAAATTGCGTCATGCAAACCCTTTCTGGGCCCCCACGACTATGAGATTATTCTTCACCCTTTGAAGGCAAGTTGGACTGTCAAAATTTTTGATTGAGCATATTTTTATGAGGTAGTGAATTTCAGGATTATAGGAGGAGAGAAAGTTAGAAAAACATACATAAAGTAGCCCAGTCATGAGTTTATTACCTGTAATACAATTTAATTATTGCTTTTATGGTTTATTTCACTTTTTTGTGAGTAATTTTTAAGTAAATATTTTGATAATAATTATTTGAAAGGTATTGAAACTCTGAGCCCATTTATTAAGTATTGGAGGACAGAAAATTCATCCACCCTTAAATTAACTAGTCCTTTTTTAAATTATTTCCCTCCATAATTACTCCAGGAACACCTTTGTGGTAAGCTAATAGCTGAAGGAGCAGTTCCCATAATGAGAGAAATTACAATAAAAAAATTATAAGTTAATTTTTAAATATTTATTTCACCAAGGTAGTATTCTAGGTCCTATCCTTTACACAGTTTATACATCTGACATACCAACCCATCCTAACACTGTTATTATCACATATGCCGATTATACATGTGTCCTATCCATTAATAAGGACCCAACCCAATTGCATCCCGAACTCTTCAATCACACATCACAAATCTTGAGGAATGGTGTTGAAACTGGAGTATTCAAATAAATTTTAATAAATCCCACCAAATCACCTTTACCCTTCGCCATAAACCTATGAATTCCTGTTCTTCAACATACTTTAAGAATACCCCACTTATCCCTGTTTAAGAAATCCGATACCTTGGACTCCACTTGGACAAACGTCTAACTTGGAATCCTCATACCAGACTGAAACGACATGAAATTGCTCGACGTTTTCGACTACTCCAACACTTATTAGACAAACTCTCTAAGCTTCTAGTTAATTACAAAAGACTCATATACACGACTGCAATAAGTCATATTTGGACTTACGGAGTTAAGCTTTGGGGTTCCATTAAGTTATCGAATTCCTCTAGTATCCAATCCTCACAAATTAAAATCCTTCTGAAAATCCTTAATACTCCTTACTTTGTCACCAATAAAATAATCCATTATGTTAATGTTTCTTATGTTTTCGATTTGGCCCAATTCAGATACCTATACTTCCATAATAAACATTCAGAACCATTCGAATCCTCTCGTCTCTAGCCTTGCTTCCTCTTCTATTCCTGAAAATCCTGCGAGGCGTCTGAAAAGAAGATGGCCTCGAGATCTGTTATTGTAAAAACATTTTTTTTTAGAGTGCTACCAGTGGGTAGTTTCTCAAGAACTGATTTCATTTTATTATTTTCTGTTATCAAATTTTCTAAATATATTTTATTTATTAATACAGTTGTACCTATCATAAATAAAAATATTTATTTCTTAAAAAGCTGCGCTCAGTAATTATTAAATACTTTCTTTTTGATGAAGTTTTCGAAAATTATTGATATAAGATGCGACGTAATGATGTTTAACCTGGCAGAAATTTCAAAGGTTAATTACTCAAAACAATAAATGAATATTCAATATAATTATTTAGTTTGATGCGTTTGGATTTCTTTCTATTTGTAGTTAATAAAATCTCATCATCTGATTTTTCGATCATTATCAAAACAAAAAAGTTTGAATGTATAATGTGATCGTTAGTAAGGTAATAGTTTGAGATACAAATGCAAAAAAAAAAAAGAAATGAATAATGTACATAATTTTCAATTATTATACTGTAGGAGTTAATTTCATAGCTATATAAGCTCAGAAAACCTCAAGGTTAAGCGAGTCATTGACTTCGATCTCGATGTTTTTTTCAGTTACTGATATAGACAATTGATACTCCTTTGATGCATGGTGCGGATTCTATAAATAATTTACTTTAACTTCTCTTTTTATACTGCTCCGTCGACCAAAGTAGTAGTTATGTTTTCTTCTGACATCATTCGCACTATTGTAAAACAAAAAAAAAAAACACTTGAGGTTATTTTATCTGTAAATTAATGTGATCCCGCATCAGGATGGAAGAAGGTTCTACCTTATCGGGCGGAAAACCCGGTCCACGCTCACGTTGTGGTGGAGAGACCGCCAATGACGTAGAACCGAGGCCACATTTTCCTGTTCCTCCTTCTAAAGGGGGTAGTCGCACTCGGGTTTTTAAACGGATATGTGCTCGCTCTGCCTTCTTCTTCTCGCCCTCGCGGCAGGCTGCCTAGGTTCGTGTCCAGTCGGTCAGGACTGCATCAAAAAATGCTGTCCTCTCAACATGAGGATGTCAGGCAACGGTTGTGTCCCTGGCGAGTCGAGCTACGACGTGTACAATGGCACGGTCAAAATCATTGTAGGCAGGCCTCAGTGTACCATGTATTACTTGGACGCTGCTATGGGAGATGAATTCACAGTCCATCTTAACGGATCTTTGACCATCTATTACAATGATTCTTCCGAAGATACGAACAAGTTTTGCGAGGACGCGACAGAAATCAACAGTAATTTAGTATTCGTCTGTGTTTCGGACCAAGATATGTCTGTCTGGGGAGGTGAAGAGGACCAGTGCGTGCTATTGATGATCTATTCGATCGGTCTCTTTACATCCGCGCCTTTACTTCTTGCCACAGCTGTGATATACGCTTCCATCAGCGTGTTGAGGAACTTACACGGATGCTGCTTGATATGCCATAATCTGGCCATTTTCTTTTTGTACGTAATTCTAGGACTGGTTCAGACAAAAGTTATTTGGCATGGATTATCATGCGTGATTTCCGGTAAGCTTTTTTTTTTTTTTTTAGAACATTTTGTCATGTATTTGATGAAAAAAGCCATTATATTCTTCTCTAAGTTGTCATATTTTAATTTATTTTTTTCCAAGAGGACGCTTTTTCTATCTGATATTTCAGGGGAATTCTTCTGAGACGAAAAATGTTTCTTTGCGGAGAATAGCTCCTAAAGTTGTCTTCTGAAGAAAAAGCCAGATTACTAATAGAAATTAGGCTACATTCTAAACCTTTTGTTGGGACTAAACACTTAAATACTTACTATTTTTTATCTATGTAAAAGTCCGACAGATAATTATTTATTCCATTCCATCAGTCGTGGATCGACCCTGGAGTCGGGAAATCCCCTTGGGGCACACCCGGCCTCTATAACTCTATATCCTTTATTAATTAATCGAATAAGGAGAAAAATGTTCAGTACAAAAAAAAATAATACTGCCCTGCACATTAATGAGTTTAAAAAAAAAATATTGAACCCAAGATCCTTTATGGGTTGTAGCAGAATAGGTTAAATTATTTTTTACTTTTTTTATCTACATTAAGTAAGTGCAAATAAACTCCAATATTCTAAGTAAATGAAAGAAGCACAAACCAAGGCTCTTCTGCTCAAAAAAAAAAAAAAAAATGAGCTGAGGGATGGCTGTGTCTTAGTAATTAACTATTTATCTAACTGGAGGCATATTTTCTAGAGGGACAAGCACTTATTAAGTAAAATGTAGTTAACAGTGGTAAGTATGAGACTTCAACAATTGTTTGGACAATTTCACAAACTATGGGACAAACAAACATATAAATGGTTATTTCGCTATGCTAGAATTTTTTTTCTTGGTTTTGATATTTTCATCTGCTGTCGGTATTGTTATAAATTAAGTAAACACTATGGTAAAGCATATAAAAAATGTCGATATTAATTAAGTTAGATAATTGTGTATTTCATAGTTTGTGAAATGTCTAAACGCACCTTTAAACTTTTTTTTTCTGTTAAAGTTACAGACGTTGTTAATGTTTTGTAGCTTTAATCGGCCTTCTCCATCTCTGTTTATCTTGGATCACTTTCCAGTTATCTGCAAGCAGTTCTATTAATTCGAAATTTAATTTTTTTTTTCGAAACTAGCGATTCAGAAGCCGCATACTCAAGAGGTTAAAAAAATGAACATTTTTCCTTAATAGTGACTTATTTGTATTCCGGGTTAGTTGCCATGATTGCTCCTAGAGGGCGTCATCATTTAATAAGAATTATTTTACACTGGTTAATGTGTCTTTTCAGAAAGTCGTCGATGTAGCAGACTGACATCAGCTAAGATAGATAATTCCATATATATATATATATATATATATATATATATATATATATATATATATTATATATATATATATATATATATATATATATATATATATATATATATATGAATGAACCTTCTCCCTCTCTCCCCTCCCCCTCCAAGAGATTTTATTGTTCTCTTCTTCTTAAAAACATTAGAAATACAAGTTCCATAAATCATATATAATTACACTTGATGAGGTTTGTTCCATATATTCCCTTTGTCTTCTTTTTTGAAACTTTTCAATTCAAAAATTGATAAATCCGTCGAAATGTGCCTCCCTTAACAATTGTGATGCATCAGTTTGGACCATAAAACTCTCTTTTGGACACCTATATGTATATATATATATATATATATATATATATATATATATATATATATATATATATATACATATATATTATAAAGTTTCCAGCGAGATGGCCGACGAAGTGCTCGAGATTTGAATTAAACTATCAAGACTTTGAAAGATGTTTTAGATTACAGTCGCTTAAGAAAATATTTGCGACTGAAGGTTGTAAAAGCTATTGAAGCAATCTTTGTGACCACTCTTTTCATTTAGAAAGTGGAAAAGTTGTTAAAAAAGATAACCTCTCTTTCAACAATATAATTAGTTACTCAGCAATAGCCCAAAAGGTTGTGATGAAAGCACAGAATCAACCTGCCCATAAGGTGGTTATTAAACCTTAAATACCATTAAACGAAATGATATTGGTAACGAACTTAAATCTTTAGTAAATCCAAAAGATTTATATATTCCTTTTCAAAAAGTAGTTGAAACTAAATACGCCTCATTACTAGTACAAACGGACCGAGAGAAATAATCTTTAAAAAATTGCTGAAACCATAAAAGATAATCAATTGAAATATCATATCATAAAATAAATAAAAGAAAAGTTGTGAGATACATTGAGGAAGATATAAGTTTACAAAATATAACCAACTACTTAACTTCTCAAAATGAGGATATACACTTACAAAAAAATAAAATAAGACCTGTGATTATTCTTACTACAAGTAAAAAAAAATAACAGTCGGTATGACTGTGTTGGAAGTGGATGCTATGACTCGAGAATTGCTATTGTATAATAGGATCAGCCTCGGGCATCAAAAGGTTATAATACAGGATTATTTCTAAATAAGAAGATGCAACATGTCTCTTAAATTTCACCACAGAAGCAACCATTGCAGAGGTACAATAGCATGCTCGAACTGCGGAAGTCAACAGGCCGCTAGTGACTGGACTTATCAAGAAATGAAATGCATCATCTGTGAAAACTACAACAAGTTCAGTAGAAACAAAAAAAAGCGTCCAGAAATTGGCATCCAATCCTAACTACAACCCTCTACAATAAATTACGATGAAGAACAGGTCGCATGAACATGTTTCAAATATTCAAGATGTAGACAAGGACATTCATCGAGCGAATGCACATCTCAAGATCTCAAATGCGTCAACAAGAATCCAAGAACGAAAATGCCAAGAAGAATTAATGAATGAATTAACACTCTGTTTATGATAAAAACTGCCCTTCTTACTTCTACTACCCTTATAATAGAGGTACGAAAATTGGTACCAAATGCAGACTATACTATATCACTAGACGTAAATCCATAAATTCATCATCATTTTTTCATATAACTAATCGCCATACAATACAAGACATTCCACTCAATTTTAATCTTAAGAAGTCTAAAACTATACTATTATGAAACTCCGAAGGCTTTAAAGACTCACTGGCATTAAAATCTGTAAATCATTCCATGCCATCTCTCATACGTCTTGGCAGGAATGATTCCAATAGTTTTAAAAATAAAAGAAACAGTACAACCATGTGTCATTAAAAAACGACTTGCTAACTACAAACATGTACTACACGAAAATAAAGACCTTCCAAGTAACTGTAAATATTGGACCCACTATGTGACTATTGGACACCACCATTGGACAGGCTCAACTACTGCTGAACGAACAAACTGACGCAGAAACCTTGACAGAAATATATACAGATGGAAGCAAGGATGGAGATAGTGTGGGATATGCCTAGATATTATTAAAATATGAAACCGAAACACCGATAAAAACTCAGTATAAATTGGGTAACAAATGTTCCAATAATCAGGCGGAGAAATTAGCAGTTCTTAAAGTAACTGACTATCTCTTTGAGAATAAGAAAGACACAAATACAGAAATAACTATTTACACTGAAACCATGAACATTATTCATTCAATTCTAAATACAAAAATCCATGACGAATTTACAGACAACATAAGAAAAAAATTGGTTTAACTACACTATCATGCCAAAAACATTAACATAAAATGGATTAGGGAGCATTCAGGGATAGAAGAATAAGCGGATTACCTTGTGAAGTTATCTGCTCATAGTAACCTTCCACTATCATATAGTAAGGATTCAATTTCATATATAAAGGTGAATCTCAGAAAGGAAACAATAGTCAAATGGAACCAAGCCTGGGCCCCTTCATCAAAATCACCAAGCCTTCTTCAGAGATTTATTCCTCTAATCACACACCACAACTTCAAACTGACACAAATTCTTACCGAACAATATCTAACTTGCTTTAACATACTACACATAGATTTATTTTATTTTTTCTTATTAGTTCTGTTTCTTTTATTTTAATTTTTTTATTAAGTATTATTTCATTTACATTGTTTATGCTGTTATTATTTAAAATTTTTTTTAAAAACTAATATTGTAAATATCTACATATCTCAATGTAAAATGTAACATGTACTACTAGTGTGCCTAGTTACAATAAGCATGGAGCATATAATACTTATTTAATAAACTCTCTAAAAAAAATACACACCCACAGATATATATATACCCAGTATACCCAGTATGTCCTTTCAGGGACAGATGCTGCTTTTACGTTTTATAATAAGGTGTTATGAAAACACTGAATCATTTATTATAGTTCTTCGACTGTTTTATATAAATGTTTCAACCTAAACATGTGGCCCATCATTAGTGCTGAAAAAAATACAAGTGATTGAAAAGTTATGTATGCATTAACAGTTCAACAGCTTCAATACAGAACCAACAACGCTGGATAACAATCCAATCAGTTACAACAAAATTACAGAGATTAACATTAAATTATATGATTTACACAGGTTTTATTTCCTGATAAGCCTTATCAAGCTCGCTAACTAGTTATGGATTTCATATTGCCTAAAATACTAAAAAAAGAATATTTTAGTATAAATAGACTGTTATAAACTTCTTATTCATTCTTTCTTTATTATCACAAATATTTTATCGTTCAACATCTTATAATATATTTTTAATTAGTTATTTTAAATAAGAAAACTTCATATAGTATGATTTCTTCTTGAAATATCTTTCATTGAAAAATATTTTCTTCTGTTCTATGAAGCATATATAATTAAAATATATATAATTATATATTAGCATATATAATTAAATTAATATAAATTAATTACTTTAATAACATTAATATAGTAACTAGAAGCAAAAGCAAAATGAATGGTCTAATGAAAAGAAAAAGTAAAAAAACAATCTTAAGCACGGTATGAGTTTTGTTTTTCACTCCTTCCTTGCCTTTGGTTTTTTCCCGGGCCGGGGGAGAGGGCGGGGGGAATAAAACAAGTTAAAAGTCCCTCTGGGCACCGGGA